CATCGGGCTTACCCCGACACATACATAACATAATCACATAATCTGCATCGGGCTTGCCCCGACATCAGACCGAAGCCCAGAAGAAATAACATATAACACATAAACTAGCATACATCGGGCTTGCCCCGAAATACATAATACATGGCATAGTGACTAACATACATCGGGCTTGCCCCGGCATCGGGCTTACCCCGGAATACTTAACATATAACATATAACATAAACGCATATACTGCATCGGGCTTACCCGACATCAGACCGGAGTCCGGGACACATAACACACAACACATATACATGCATGGATCACAAAGACATCAAGCATACTTAACTACTTCTCGGGACCTCCCCGGCATCGGACCGACGTCCGGAAACATATAAACTGCATCGGGCTAACCCCGACATCGGGCTCACCCCGACATACTCTACTACTTAAACGGGCCGACATTGGTGCCTTAGACCCGTTCCTACTGGAGGAAAACACACCTCGTGTGACTGACTGCTACAACTCTGGGTGAGGAATCTCTGTGTGCTGCTCAGTCGATTTTCCGGCTATAAGTTTCTATAAAGGTACTTAGTCAAAAAACTGATAACTACTCTTAGGGTAAAATGACCATTTTACCCCTGGCTAAAGTCAACATCCTGGTCAAAGTTAACACGCGGTTGACCTGAATCGCCGAGTTGGTTCACCAACTCGTCGAGTCCATATTCTTTCATCTGTTCCTAACCCCGACTCTACTCGTCGAGTCTAGCAAGAACTCGACGAGTTCTCCTTCAAACATAACATCGAGACTATCTTCATCTGGCTCGCCGAGTTCATCCTTGAACTCGTTGAGTTCATCTTCATCATATGAGTGTGACTAGTCTGTGACTTGTCGAGTCCGTCTTCATGGGTTGGGAGATTGCCTTGGACTCGCCGAGTGTGTCCATCCACTCGCCGAGTCCCATGGTTTCCAGGTTCATAACTACGTCTATTTTGTTGAGTCCCCCTTCTGGACTCATCTAGACCCCTTCTAGACTCAACTAGATCCCTTCGAATCAGAAAAGGTTGGGGAACCCAAACCCCCGACTCGTCGAGTCCCATGAACGATTCGTCGATTCAACTAATGTCTATGCCCATAACTCGATTTATGTTGTGCTAATCTCATCCAAAGGGTAGATCTGGGCTCCTAAGGTCGATATAACACGTAAAGTCATGAACTTTACATCCATGCATGGGACCTTTAAGCTCAAAAGACCAAAAATAGGGTTTATTACATGCATGGGGTTCTCATGGCTATAAAGTTGGCACCTTTATGCCATGAGAACCCTCCAAGGTTCCAGATCTGAAGCATTTACCCTTTATAACACTCTACAATCAGAAAATGGCTTGGAAATGCCCCCAAAGATGTCAAGATTCAAGCCTCAAAGTAGATCTACCAAATAAAGAGTCAAGATAGGAGCTCTTTACCTCGTATAACTGGAAGTGCAACCACAACTCTGGATCCACTGACTTGCTTCTTGATTCACCAAGCTTTCCCTTCCTTCTTCTAACTTTAAATCACAAGGAAAGGCACAAATTGCTCAAGAATGCTCACAATAGATTAGGGTTTCGAGGACAGAGCTTGAAGGTGATAGAGGCTGCGGTGGAAGCCTCATAAGATGTTTAAATAGGGTGCAAACCCTCCAATTTAGGGTTTCACTCAGACAGCTCCTACTCGCCGCGTCAGTCCTCCGACTCGTCGAGTAGGTCACTTAGTCCCCCGACCCGGAGTTGATCCTACTCGACGAGTTGGGCCTCCAACTCGCCGAGTCCAAGGGTAAAATATGAAGTTTGGCTTGAATTTAAATGCGTACCTGAGACCGAGTGTTACAGTTACATAGGGCGTAATCATGGCAGATCAAAACCACAATTATTAAGTTTTGAGCCCTATTTAAGGGCTCTAACTTATGGGAAACCCTATAATCACCAACCTTCATCACCTAAGATCATTCATTGAGAAACCCTAGCCTCCTTTCAGTTGTTTTGAGCTTTGTCATAATTTTTGAGCTTATTTTTCCATTGGTAGGTGGAATCTTGAAGAACAAGATTGTGGAAAAGTGTATTTATGAAGGGTTCAAATATAGATCCAGAAAATTGTGCTTTGGTGCTTGTTCATTAAGCCATACAAGTTGTGTTAGAATTTTTGGGTCATTTTAGTGCATAAAGTTTTGATCTTGAAATTTTGTAACATTTTTATCGATAAAGTTGGAAACTTTATCCATCTAAGGTTGGAGATTTGGACTTAATGGATTAAGTTCATCCTAATGGATAAAGTTGGAAACTTTATTCATTACGGAGCTATTAGGAACCAGATATGAGCTTTGAGTGTATGGTCTTAATATATTAAATGCTTAAAATTATTTTCTGGCAAGGCACGATGTACAACGGGCATAATCTGGGCTACGCCCAATGTAGCCAGATTCTTGCCTGTTTTCTGGATAAGACTCTATACCACGCGTAGAGTAAGACGTACGCTACAGGTAAGTCAACGAAAGGTAGATCGTTGACTTCTTGACTATATCAAAATTGTCACCTTAAGCCACACCATACATAGGATGTAACTCGTCACGACTCGTAAAATCTTGAGACTTCGCATTCCCACCATGTTACGCCTAATATTTAGAACATTGGTATTTCTCATTCAGACGGATAGGAAGACGATGCACATTTTTCATTTGCTATGTACATCGATATACATTAGACTAGTAATACAATTGAACCATATGGTAAAACACTGTGAATTGAATAACGTAATGGTAATAGAATGCCAACACACTATATGAGACTACACCATTTTCCACATGTACAGGTGGGGCGATTTAGATCTACAACACATTTTTTTCTATAATAAAAAACATCAAAATTTTCGGGTGGAATATCAGAGGGGATCATTTTTCCCTGCCACTGAACAAACTTGTGCATCCTCATCTGAAACACTATCTTTGCATAAGAGGTGAGTATGACGGCAAACCCCACAAAAAAATAAACGTTATAATATTGGTCAATTTACAAGTAAATATTACTTTAATTTTTGTATAGTATTTTATCTCTCATGTCACCGCGTTAAATAAAAATTCGTTGCATGTACTCAAGGATTACCTCAATGAGCGTTATTATCGTTACATTGTGTTCATTTACCGATAACACCAAGATAAACGATGGAATATCAATGTCAATTAATGTAAGGGAAATTGGGCCTTGCTTATGTCGTATGACCGATGTTGGCAAACACCTCACATGAGGTCGGGGTTAGCCGAAATAATGTTTCCTCAAAATCAAACATAGTATATGATTTGAATGTATGCCAGAACAAAGGTTCAAATGTTCTATTCGGCTAACTCTTTGATCACACATGCAATGCCGCACTCTTACAACAATACCATGATAGGAATCAGGGAATACCTTACCTAGGAAAGAAGTTATCACATCATCCATATTGGTAATGAACAATACTTCCTTAGCGTCTGAGGGGCTCCTTCAACCTCACCAGGAACCAGGTACAAGAGTTGACATTATTTGTCACGCTCAGACAAAACGTTATATGCACGGTCTGGTTGTTTCTATCCATAGCCACCTTTATGAACATTGTCTGTAGGTAGTCCCTCTTAGAAGGATACTACCTATACACATAATAGACATCAAGTAACTTATGAAAATGCATAGATGTGCATTTTTTTTTAGAAAATAAATCAATTAGTTGTAAAAATATTATAAATTTTAAATAAACAATTAAAATTTGAAACAAAATTATTTTACCACACATCTAATATCCATAAACTAGACTTGGAAATGATCCATAACATCACTTTTAATTTTTGTGTAACTATGAAAGTTCATCCTCCCAAGGTTGGCATGTAAAAATGAAAGTTGGTAAGTTTTCTTTGTGATCGATGTTTAAGAAACTCATCTCAATTAGTTACGATAGAGAATTGTAGATCCCAATTGTAATTGAATAACTAAATGCAATACAACAACTTGTATAGGAAGAAAAACGTAATTTTAGTTGTCTCGTAGTTCAGTCCTATATGTAAGGTTTTAACTATCGTAATTTGGAATTGATTCCGTAATGTATGGTGTTAGATTCTGGATTACAATCTATATTTACCACCGATTTTCCGAAATGAACAGTGCTTCTGCGGAATGTCCGCTTCCAAAGATGATGATCATTTTTCCAAATTATTAAAAAAGTTGATTATTTTTAATAAATTACACGTTTATCTATAAGGGTTAGTTTGCATAACTTCCTAATAAAAAAATAGCCTACAATAGCAAGAAGTTAATGTCGACAAAATTGGGGGTTACATTACTTTACAGCGTGAAATGAATTTTTTAATCCCTTCAGCATCGTAGGTCAATAAATCTCCACTATATATTAACTATCGACCTTCAATTCACCCATTAGAAGTAGGTCAATCAATCACAACCATATTATAATTCTTGAGCCACGAACATTAATCGGCAAAAAAAAATATATGCAAACCAATCTACACTATATAATAATTCTTGACCTTCACCTTCCTTCCAAACCATCTTTAACTATCTCCTTATATTTTTCAGAGACAATGACAAGTATTACAAAAAGGTAAGTTTTGTATTGATGGTGTTTACATACTTTATATAAACATTGGATAATATATCTGGATTTTTATCTATAATAACATGCAACGTATTTTTAATTTCTTTAGCATTATGGAATCTAAAATTTGTACGATGCTTACAAATGTTACGTATTGCTTGTTGGTAAAGAAAGATATCACTAATAACCACAAGAGCAAGTGGAATTATCTAGAAGGAATTGTATATATGTGTTTTTGTTATGGGAAGTGATATTTCTACTTAATAAATTGATTCATCCAAATGTATGTTTTACTAATTCGTAGGATGACTATAAAGGCTTTGTATCGATCTCATGTGAAGGGATCAAATTATCAAGAAATATCCCTTCCCTTTTGTTATATATAATTTCGCTGTTTCAGATAATATGAATATGATTTTTTTATACAACCCATGTAGGCTAGAAGGAAAGGTAGCCTTAATAACTGGAGCAGCGAGTGGTATTGGCGAGTGTACCGCAAAGCTTTTTGCTGAACATGGAGCAAAAGTCATCATTGCAGACATCCAAGACCAACTTGGTCTATCGGTTTGTGAGAAGATTGGCTCATCAAACTCCATATATGTCCATTGTGATGTAACTAACGAAGAAGATATCAAAAACGCTGTAGATACTGCAGTCACTACTTTTGGAAGACTTGACATCATGTTTAACAATGCAGGGGTAGTAGATCCTATCAAAGCACGTATTATCGACAATGAGAAAATAAACTTTGAACGTGTGCTTAATGTTAATGTAACAGGCGTCTTCCTTTGCATGAAACATGCTGCTAGGGTCATGGTTCCACAGCGATCTGGCACAATAATATCATCGTCTAGCCTTTCTTCACATCTTGGTGGTATCGCTTCTCATGCTTACTGTTGTTCAAAGCATGCAATAGTTGGTCTAACCAAGAACCTATCAGTAGAGCCTGGACAATTTGGCATTCGAGTCAACTGTTTGTCACCTTATGGAATAGCTACACCTTTAACTAAAAAAATTACTGGGCTTGAAAAGGAGGCTTTTGAGAACGCAATGAACTTAACAGCGAACCTAAAGGGGGTGACACTCAAAACAGATGATGCTGCATATGCTGCGCTTTTTCTGGTAAGCGACGAGGCTAAATACATAAGTGGACAGAATCTAGTTATTGACGGTGGATTGAGCTATGCTAATACATCATTCAACTTCTTTAAATATGGCGAGGAACTATAAGTCGACAAGTTTGATATTATGAAATAATTTTAACAATAAAACTTATACGGTGCATGGTTTTATATTTAATAATTATATGAGTTTGTTCAATCATGTTATTTTAAATTTCCAGCCTACTATATAGATGTACTTGGTTAAAGTCCGTAAGTTTTTTTTTTTTTTTTTTTTTTTTTGAACAGCACAATTTCAATAACAAACCAACGGGGCTAGCGAGAAGCTAGAAGTACAACAGGACCAAGAACAGAGCAAAATACACTACAGCCAATTATCCCTATCAAGGTTTTTACCATATTTGCTTCTAACACTAAACCAGAGAAAAGAGTTGCATTTCACCTCAGAATCCAAAATTGGGATACATAACATGCTTAGCAATCTATTAAATGAAACATGTTTGAGATGCAAGTCAGAATGTCTTAAAGCCACATAACTATTTAGTCCAACTGCACATATCTATACGAAATGGTTTCTGTTTTGATGAAATTTTAAATGGCATTATTAAATTATGTCCGACATTAGTGACATTACATAACAGTAGGTTTGAAGAAGCCGTACGTACATTTCTAATTTACGGTAATCCTACCTAATAAATGAAAGTTTTCTGCCACGTGTCACATTCTCATTCAATACGACACGTGACATTTTTATAATTTTTTCAATTAAATTTAATTCCAGTTGGCAAGTTGTGGATTTTTTGGTTTTTTATCAAATTAAAAACTATCAAATACTTTACTGAATCTTATACAAAAAATAAAGGAAACGTGAATATCTCCTCTGGTATTTTGTCAATGAATACATTAAATCCAAATATATCTTCCTAAATTACATACACAATTTTTGGAAATCACCTCTCAAATTGACGCTTATTTGCAGTTATTAAATTTCAATTCATTCATAGCTATTCTTCATATCCTTTCCAAATTCAATTTATTTTATAAAAAAAAACTCGTGTATTACACGGGTCTCACACGTAGTTAAATATCATCCAATAGATCAAGATAAATGCCGTTCAAAAAGATCAATATATAAATAAATCAAAATAAATGTCAACATTAAGACAGATGATTTTTTTTAAACAATTAGCCATATATATAAAAGAAAAACTCTACCAAAAAAATAAATAAATAAATAAATAATAAAAAAAATCACATAGGGTTTTTCAACCAATAGTTCCAAGAAACATAACATTTTATATTTGTATTTGAATACCAAAACAAGTGATCCAACTGTTCCACTTCATTCTCACAAATACAGCATAAAATTGAAGGAAACATCTATATCCCGATTTGCTAATAAATTTGTCGTAGTTGGAATTTAATCTAAACGAGCATGTAATATCATTGTGTTTACCTTTCTAGGTAAAAAAGTGTTCCATCCGGACATCCAGTATCTATAATTGCATTTGGAAGAACAATTTCATCCCTCCATTATCTAGTCACACCCACATAAAAGGACCCACTCGCTTCAATATCCCACTACCACCTGTCATTTTCGTTTGATAACTCGACCTGTTCGAGACAATCAATAAGACCCATAAACTGAAATCTTCTTCACCACCTATTGGTTGATGCCTCCACTTCCAATACCAAACCCCAACAATCTTTCTATCTACAATATAACAATTTTGTTCCTTTTCAAGTTCAAAGATCCTAGGGAATTTATCCGATAAACACTGATTACCATACTAAACATCCTTTCGGAATTTAGTGTTTTTACCATTGCCCACTTTTTCCTTTAAAACCGAATCTATCAAAACACCTTGGTTGAGAAGCCACGAATTTAAAGCGATAATTTTAGCCCATGACCAATCTCCCAATTGGGAATGAGAAGTATGAAGCCCACCATCATCAAATAAACTATTTATGACTTTCACCAATAACATATCTTGATAATTAAAAAAACATTTAAATCATAAATCATAAATCAAGAGTGCAGAATAAAACTCCACAGGATACAGTGCCATCAAGTCGGACCCTTCCCTTTGGAACCAGAAGTACCTGAAAACATTTAAACATGAAACCATAAACACAAAGCTTATTGAGTTTCATAAAATACCACATAACATACATAACATCGGACCCCACCCACACAACTAAGGGAACATCGGACCCCACCCACATATCGGTCCCCTCCCATATAACTAACGAGCCTCACCCTTATAACTGCCCCTCCCACATATCGCCCCCCCCCCCCCCCACATCATGTGCCCGCCCAATATACATGCAAGAGTCACAAAGACAATCTAGCATCCTACATAGAAAACTCACTTGAACTACTCAATAGGAGCTCACCAGCTACCTCAGCAACAAAATAGCTAATCCATGCTCCGAATGCCAAACTGAGACCATTCCTTAGATAAAAATTCAGTGTTACTCAACTTTTACGAAAAGTCAAAATGGTCAAAAGTCAACGGTCAACGGTTAACAGTCAACCACCACGTCGTGGCCAACCACTAACCGCGTCATGATAGTCATCCAACAAAACATTCACGGAGAAACCTGTCTCCACGCCATGGCGATCATCATGCCACCACGTCCGGATAAAAGAGATGCATTGCATCGCGCCCTTCCTTGGTTACACCATGGTTTTCGGTAAGGAAGACATTTCTTCCTTAAGAGTTTAATCCGCTAAGATAATCCTTAATACTTTCCAAAAAGCTTCTTTGCATAACAAAGGACCATAAAAATGATGCATTTATTGACATGCATGTGCAATTCATCTCTCACCCAAAACTAAGTCAAAACTGTAAGAAATGAAGTCAAAAATTCATGCATGACATCAAAACAACTTCTGAGTCCATATCTGAAACATGTAATGTTCTTGGGACCTTTGAGTATAATAAAGTTGCAAACTTTATTCCCAAATCTTACTCAAAACTCTTCAACATGGACAAAAACTCATAATACTTCAAGATCCAAAGACAAGATACCAAAAAGCAACAAACTTTGTGAATTATAAAGGTCTAAAAGATAGATGAAGGTAGGAATCCACAAGCTCCAAGCCTCCAAGCACAAACTTTCTTGCTTCCTTCACAAAAACACCCAAAATGTGCACTAAAAATGGTTCATGGATCGAGGAGGAGCTCAAATCATGAAGATGGAGGTTAGGGTTGCTATCAAAGAGTTCTAGACGAGATCGAGGCTGAGAAAATGCCCTAAAATGTGAATCCTGGCCCTTAAATACGTTGAAAACCCTAGAAAATCATGGGCATTGTAAGGTCACACCTTATGATCTTATGAGTGAAACACTCTACATGCTAACTATCAGCGTCACCATCAGCGCCAACGCCTCAAGTCTTATCAGCGTCAACGTATAGTTATATAATCTAATATAATATTTGTATATTAGGTAATAATAAATATATGTATAGAATAGATAGAAGATCCGATATCTTTGGGATGATGATCGGTTCTTAGTAAAGATTAGATACAATCCCTTTAATCTGTAAGGGTCGAATTGTTGTAATTAGTCGAAATATATTTTAGACTCTTCGAATGTTTTGTAATGTATTTACTAAGGCGCTTTTGTTCGAAGAGTTAGTGTATATGCCTTAGTATATTTTTTGTACGCTTTCGTTTCCCTATAAATAGGGATATTTACTAGAGTTAGAAAAGAGTTTTTTTACAGACCTGTCTATTGTACTCTGTAAACATTCGAAAGCGTAATAGAGCTGAAAAAAGATCATATTTACATCTGTTGTTCAATCTCGCATTCATAATTGATTTCACACTCTGATTTATTTTATACTCGATTCATTGGTTCATCAATTGGTATCAGAGTAGGAATCACATCTGTGATCTGATTTTCATCCATTCAAAAAAATTTTGAATCAAATTTTTGGTTCGAAAGTTTCCGCACTTTTTGATCGTGAAAAATTGTCTAAATCTTAGTCTGTGATTTGATTCTGCATTTGAATTGTTGAATCGAGTGTTTTTCTTTCAATTCCAATTTGAATCAACAAGTTTGTTTTCAAATTTTTAATTCTTCTTAAAAAGTTTCAAATTCAGCTTTCGTACAACAATGGCGAGTTTCAATCTCAATTCGATGACCTCGTTTTCTCATCTGTTAGGATCATCAACCAAAATTCCAATGCTAATCCCTGAATATTATGATCAGTGGGCTGATCGTATGCAGGATTATCTGAATGGTCTTGATGAAGAATTATGGTCATGTATCACTGGAAATGTCAATGTTCCAGTGAATGTTCAACCAATTGGATCATCTTCTACAAGTTCTGGAGTTGATAATCAAACTGATCGTCTGAAGAAACTGGAAAAGAGGTGTATGAGAGAATTGCGAGGAGCTTTACCTCCAGTTGTGTACAACTATATAAGGAGTTGTACAACTGCAAAGGAGATCTGGAACAGTCTGAAAGATAAGTTTCAAGGAAGTGAGAAGACGAAAATCAATTCAGTCAAACAGTGTTTGGTTGAGCTGAAAGATTTCAGACAAAAAGAAGGTGAAACAATCGAAGTCTACTATGATCGACTGAATGAGTTAATCTATCGTTGTAATCGCTATGGAATTACCAGGACCTCAATGGAATTCAATCTCATCTTTGTGATGGGTCTTCGAAAAGAATGGAGAAGCGTAGTATGATGGTGAAAAATCAGCAAAGTTTTGATACATCAACTCTCAATGATTTGTACAATCAGTTGAAAACACACGAAACTGAGGTAAATGAAATTGCTGAAGAAACGAAGCTGAATTTGGGAGGTCCATTGGCACTTGTGTCAAAGATATCTGAGAAAGAAGCAGAAAATGGTGATTCTGAGGAAGAAGAAGGATTCATCATGAATTCGGATGATGAGGCAATAGCTTTTTACTCGAATAATCGTGTTAAGAAGTTTTTCAAAAAGCCGTTCAATCCGAAAACTTGCTGAGGTAAAAGGAAGTGTTGTGAGTAAAACTGCTGATGAGGAGAAAAAGAAAGTTGAGAAGAAAGATTCGAAAATGTCTGAAGGAAAGATTGAGAAAAAGCTGAAAGGTGATGCTGGAATAGA